CCCCCCCCGCCCCCCCGGCGGCCGCGGCCCCGGCCCTGCCACATCCACTCTCTAGGACACAGACTGGGCCCGATGGCCGGAAGCCCACAGCACGCTGTCGGGGGACTGGCCCTTCCCGGGGCAGCCAGGGCGGGCTGCGGCCGCTCCTTGGCCGTCGTCCGGGTCTGCTCTTGTGCCGCTGCATCAACATCTCCCTTTACAGCACCGGTTCATGGACCGAAGGCCTAAACTGGTGCCCTCGTTCTAAGCTGGTTGAAGACTGAGACCGCATCTTCGAAGGAAGCCTCATTGTGCAAAGCTGCGAGTCAGGGTGTCGTCCGCCCCGCCACAGCCTTGCCCCCCGGACACAGTGCGGCTCTCTGAACCCTGAAGTTACCCACACTTTGAAGCACTTGAGAGAAGAGACGGTCCGTTACGTGGACCGAGCTTCCTGTGTTCCCCTCAGTCTAAAAGCGGACTTCATGGCCGTCACAGCCCTGGCCCTCCTCTGGAACCTTCCGGCTCCCTCCGGAGTTGGCTCTGCCACTTCCCAGCATCCTCCTGATTGGTGGCCATCACCCGGTCTGTCACCTGTGTGGGACTCACCTCTGCTCCGCGATGCCCTGGTGGCACATCCGCCATGTCCTCGGTGGGGCCGAGGGGCCGATTCTGACCTCAGCTGGTTGTCATTGAACCTCGCATCACGTCGAGTGGGAGACATGCCTGGCCTCCAGTGGCTCCCAGCTTCTTCAGGGACTGAAGAGCCTTCGGGAAGCTCCGCAGCGCTGGGCCCTCGTTCCCTGTCCTGTCGCTGTCGCCCCACGGGCAGCACGCCCCTGCTTTGCCCAGCCCTCCGCCTGCGGCTCCTCCCTCCACCCCACTCCTACACAAGCTTTTACGCAAGAGCTGAACGTGAGCCTGTGTGTGGACATGGCCGGCTCCACTGCCCAGGAGAGGCCGGAGCCCACCTGCTCCTGTAGGGACTGCCTCAGCCCAGTCAGGCTGGAATGCGCAGGACAGGAGTCCACAGCTGCCCAGGGTCCGGGGGGCTGGAGGGTGCAGAGAGAGGGTTGACTGTGACCACAGTGCTCCTCTCTCTCTCCTCTCTCTCCCCTCCTCTTCTCTCCTCTCTGTCCCCCCTCTCCCCCTCTCTCCCCCTCTCTTCCCCTTTCTCCTCTCTCCTCTCTTACTCTCCCCTTTTCTTGCTGTCATTCTCAGATACACATGGACGCACCTTACCATGAATAAAGGAAACATTTCAAAAAAGTGTGGCATCTGGGTCCCACTTGCCCCACTGTGCAGTTGCAGTCCCAGACCCAGAGGCCTGAAAACCAGGCTGGGCACATGTGCATGCCCAAAGCCCTGAGAGGGTTCCTGGGAGCAGCCCTGTAGCCCAGGCTGGCCTCAAGTTCACCGTCCTCTGGCCTTGGCCTCCCGAGTCCCTGGGTGTCCACCTCCCGACTGCAGGTGGCTGTCGCTGCCTCCGCATTCAGGTGGACTCAGAACCAAACCTGGGCTCTCTGATGGTCCCTGCCTGCTGAGCACAGGGTCTTAGCAGCACACCCGCTGTGGCGGGGTGGCCCAGAGATCTCTCCCAAGGGCAGTACTTCAGAGGGCTCTCCTTCAGAAAGGGAATATTCGGATTGTTCGGTTTTGCTACTTAGCAGTAAAGTGCAACAACATTTCAAAGACCCAGAGAATACAGTGAAGGACGGCTACCCATACAGGCCCCTGGGGGCCCAGGTGGCAGTGGCTACAGGACTAGGTCTGCACGGGGACAGCCCCAGACCGCCCTGGGCACACGTGCCAAGACTCGAGCTGGCTGAGACTGAGGGACCATGGCACCAGGGCCCTGCTGGGCTCCCTGTCTCTCTCCCTCTCTCACTCTCTGTCTTTTGGAAGACTATAAATTTAAAAAATTGGAACCAGCAGATAGTGTAATGGTTACGTTACTAGACCCCCATGTAGTTGACTGCATTCAGGCCCCGGACCCGGTGGCTTGAGACGCATGCTTGGCATGTGTGTGTGCTTGCGTGCCCAAGATCCAGAGAGGAGAATGGAGAAGGGATTGTGGCGTGGCACTCAGGGCTGGCTGGTCACACGCTGCCCTCGCTCCGTGTCAACGGCAAGGCCATCTCTGACTGTCAGTTAGAAGTGGTGCATTATGAAGGAGGTCCTGGGCGCTGGGACGCCGCGCAGGGGCAGAGCTGTCCTGGGAGGGTACCGCTACAGGGCGGCACTTGGGTGTGCTGTGCCCTCCTGCCCTGTCCTTCGTGGACACCTGACCACACAGCAGGTTCTAAACGATCCAAACAGCGGTTCCTCTGTAGCAAGACTTTAATCTCAAGATAAATCACGTTCTAACTCTTTCTGAGAAGCCAGCGCTACTAAAATGATAAAATTGTCATGCCCCGAGAGACACTATAATTATCCAGAAAGCTGCGCCACCCCGGGTGACTTAGCAACCCAGAACACTCAGGCCCAGAAGTCCCAATGAGCCAAGACTAGAATCACAGCCGGTCCTTGGTCCCCAAGTCATCACACTTTAAAGCACGACTCCGAACAATACAAATACAGTGCCAGCCACGCCATTTCAAATTTCGTAGCAGCAGCATTAAAAAAAATTGTCAGAGAGCATGTATGCTCACCAGAGAGAGACAGAGAGGAAGAGAGAGAGAGAGCGAGAAAAGGAGAGAAAGTGTCCCCTGTGGGGAATGGTCACATGCAATCCCTTCTCCATCTCTCCCTCAATATATAATCAATTTTTAATATGACTAATTATTAAAAATTAATAATGAGATATTGTACATTCTCTTTGGATACCAAGTCTTTGGATTCCAAAGTGTATTTTAAATGTTGGGCATGTTTCAATCCGGATACTAAATTTCCATCCTGAATATCTGATCTGTATTTAGATTTCATAAAATGTGAGGTTCAAAAAGTAGGTCCTCACACTCCAGCCATTCCTAGTATACTTCAAAGTTTTCGGCTGACAAAATGACACGCCCAAATTGCCTGTTATGTAATATTCAAATTTGCATCGACAAAACCGGTTCGTTATTTTTAGAAAACGTGGTCTGACTTTGAAGCACATGCATACGTGTCAGTCCGAGCGACGCCTCTCCCAGCTGAGCAGGCTCAATGTCCCGTGCCGTCCACTTCAACAGCCAACCCGAAGGAGATGTTTACAGAAGTTGGAAAGCAACTCTAAATTATTAAAACCAGCAGAATAATCCTCAATTTTTTTCCTGTAATTTTTCAGTTAATTACAATGCATTGATTTAAAATAAAAGCTGAAGCTTTTATTTTAAAATATTTTCACTTTAGAAAAATGAATAAAATTGCTATTATCGATGGTGTTATGAAAAGTGACAATTTTAATGGAAGTACTTGCCGTGGGCTGAATGAGTCGGAGTCCTGATCCAGCACCCCAGGGTGTGGCCTTCTTCGGGGTGGTCTTTGCAGAGGTGAAAGGCCCTATGCCAAAGGGAAGTGCAGACCGGATGGTGGCACGGCAGTGACAGGCCCCCTGCGAGGCTGGCCCATGTGGGCGTGCTCCAGGTGGGGATTCGAGACCTCCTGGAACGTACCTGGCGCACACCTGCCAGGACCCCGGGCTGGCTGGGCAGGGGCAGCTCGCAGCACGAAGACCCTGGTGGAGGACTGTCTCTGTCTCTCTCTGCCTCTGTCTCTCTGTCTCTGTCTCTTTCTGTCTATGTCTCTCTTGCTTGTGGAAAAATTTTAAAACTTCAAAAATAAATAAAATAAACTTTAAACAAAAAGGACAATGTAGACAGACACAGTGCTGTGCATGCAGGGAGACACCCTGTGAAGGGACTGAAAAGACGGCCCTTGAGCTGAGTGGGCGGAGTCGCAGGAGCGACTCTGGAGAGCCGTGGTTTGGCCACAGCTCCGCTTCAGACTCTGGGCCTCGAGGGCTGTGAGACTCTAAGCAGTTCTTGTTCTGAGCTGCAGTGCGCAGCTCTGCGGGGCCGGCCCTGGCACACTCTCTAATGCTCCGTAGCTCAGGCACCGGGCAGCCTCGCCTCCCATGCCAGGGAGGGCCGCGGACTCAGCTCTCCCGCCCAGACGGTGTCAGTGTGGGGACAGGAGCTGTCTTCGGTCCTGAATATTTGACAAGCATTTCTTTCGTCTCAAGAAAATCTCGCACCAGCATGAAGAGCACAGGTCTTTCGGGACCTGGCCAGTGAGCACGGCCAGGGCCTGAGGCCATCGCGGTCCCTGCCCCTCACTTCTTTGGAGGCTGTGCGGACGGGCAGTGATGGACGGACGGGCAGTGATGGACGGCCCCCGCAGCCGTGTAGCGAAAGGAGCTCTAGCACCAGGCACCCCAGAGCGCACCTTGCAGCCTCGCTGTTCCTAGCAGGGGGACTTCAGGCAAGTCCCTGAGTCTTTCTGAGTTGCAGATTGCCCATTTGCAAAAAATGCCTCACCACCTCCCTCAGGGGGAACTCGCGGGTGAACGACCTGCCATAGACTGGGTTGTCAGAAAAGTCGTTACACATTTTTTGCATAGAGAAAAACGCATCCTGACTTTCCTTACAACCCAATATTTAATAAACACCGATTGCCTCCCTCTTCCCTGGGATGCTTTGAAACAGTCTCTGCATTGCCTCTGGCTGCCGAGTGGCTGCTCCCACCCTCTGTTCCCTGCCACTTGGTGGAGAGTTCTCGACGCCTCATCCAGTCCTCTCCCTCCCCACTGCACCACTGCAACGCCCCTGTTCCGCCTTGCCAACTCGCATGGCAAGCACCGCCGAGCATCTGCGTACTTGTCTGCGGGGTGGGCCTCCACGAAATACCCCGCGAAGGGGCAGAAGACTCGGGGCTGCAGGTCCTTCACCAGCTGGGCCTTGTAGTTCAGCAGCTTCCTCCTCTCCGTCTTGATGAACTGGGCCTTCCACTCCTCTGCAATGACAGGGGTTTGCATTAGCCTCTGCTTGGAAGGCACAGAAAACCAAACATCTTGGGCAATGGAGGCAGTCTCTCGGGAGTTGAAATTGGCAGGGGCTGGGGCAGGAACAGAACCTCTGAGCCCCCCCCCCAGCTTTACTTCCCACATTTCAGATGCCCTGGGTGGTGTCGGCAGGTCAGCAGAGGCAGTGCGCTCTCTCTCCTGGGGATGCAGGGTGCGGACACGTGGGGAAGGCCACACAGCCAGCCTGCATGCCTGCACGTGTGAAAGGCCCTTGACCCCTTAAGTTATTAACTCTGTCGACATGGAAATGACTCAACTATTTTCGTAGACTATGAAACAAGGCATGTTCCATGTGACCCGACAGGGCGCAGGGATGAAGAACAGGACAGCTGGAAGGCACAATAGCAGGGAGGGGAACTGTAGATTCGAGAGACAGGGGTGTCTAATAGGAGGGGACGGGGAAAAACAAACAGAACACTTCATAGATACAAAAATGAAGTTATTTGTTGCCAATCATGTGTATGGTAATGTCTTTGACTTGATTAGTATGCACGGTATTCATGCTGGGATGCGCATTGATTAAATGTAAATAAAACATAAAATGGAAAGACCATGGACTATGGAGTCAGCTGGACCGAGGGCTGATCCCTGTCTACGCTCCCTGCCGTGAGCCTGGGCAGACTCGCTCTGCACGTCGTCTCCTGCTCGTGACAGGGTCATAGACTACTCGCAGGGCCGCGGGTTTGCTCACGCATACATGCACGAATGTCCTCTATCGTCACCTGGTGCAGTCAGGCCCATGTTAGGCCCTAGGGACCACGTGGCAGAGAGGACAAAGCAGAGCCTGCTCCCATGGGGCGTTTCCGCTAGTGAGAGAAGCAGGTAAGGGGCCGCAGTCTGTGAAGAGCCGTGAGCTGTGAGAGGAGGGCAGGAGACAGCGAGCTACTGGGGTGTGGAGGGGTGCAGTGGGGATGCTAGGCAGTGGTCAGTGCAGAGGAGTGGAGAAGAAAACTCGCCAGTCACGTGGTGATTAGAATGACAACACCCAGGTGGCGGGATCAGCAGGTGCAAAGGTCCAGCGCAGGCCAGCCAGGGCAGGCTGATTGAGGACACAGGCAGGGAAGGGAGCCAGAGAGTCAGGGCCGGGTCAGGAGCTGCTGCAGTTCTCATCACTGAAAATTTGGGGTACAGAAAAGTAGGTCCCTCATAACCCAGACATACCCACTATTACCATTTCTATTTTTAGTTATTTTAAAATCCTTTTTTTTAAAAAAGTTCACTTGCTTATTTTGAGAGTGTGAGAGAGAGAGAGGACAGGAACAGTGGCAGGGTCTCCATGCCGCAACCCTCCCCAGCCCTGGAGCTAGCCAGGACACAGGCTCACCCAGCATGTTCAGGTAGACTCAGATACAGACCCAGGCCTCCCCTATGGCCTCCAGCATCATGCAGCAGTGCCCTTTCAGCCTCACCACTACAGTTGGGCCAGCAGGTGCTCTCGCCAGAGAGAGACAGAGATAGAGGGAGGGAAAGTGAGAAATCATCCCCGGGGTGATGGCCACACCACAATCCCTTTTCCATTCTCCTCCTGGGATCTTGGGCATGCACGCACATGCACCTGGTGTGAATTTCAAGCCATCAGGTCCCAGACTGAACCACAGTCGGCTATGTGGGAGTCTAGCGATGTAATCCCTATGCCACCTGCTGCCCTGGTTTATTTACTTATAAGGCAGGATCTCACCATGCGGGGGTCCTCCTACCTCAGCCTCCCTAGTAGCTAAGACTGCGGGCACGTGCCACTGCATCCAACTCTTTGGGTGAGCCACGCATTGAACCCAGGCTTCCCATATGGTGTCAGCCTGCCGAGTAGCAGTGCTAAACAACACACACCACCATGGTTGTGCCCTAGTACAGATCTCTTTCTAAATGTGTGATCCATGTGGCTACACGCTCTTAGGGCCTGATTACAGACTGTTAAAAGGCGGCAATGGACAGAGGTTGGCTCCATATTGCAAGCAGGTGTCTCTGCCACATTGCCGGGAGGACCTCACTGGCCACAGAGAAACTAGGTGCAACTGAGTCCCTACTGTGCAGAGCGCTATGGAATCTGAGCAAGCAACTGTGACCTTTAGCACATGCAGAGATGTGGTTCAATGGGCTGTCATTTGCAAGGCTAAATGAACTCCACTAACATATGAATACACTAGCTGCCTCTAGGTTTGAAACTGCAAGGCAGTATCAGTTAAAGGGAGCCACGTGTGTTAATCAGAAGAGGCCCAAGAAGGTAAAAGAAACCTTACATAGACCTTCAGAGTGCCAGGTATCTTCACATCCTCGGCCGATTAACATCTGAAACGACTGGCTTAGCATTCCACTTCCCCTTCCCTCCTTTCCTGGCCTTTAGTAGAGTAAACCAGGGAACAGTTCTGGCCGTGGCTACCTCCAGCAGATGAGTCAGGACTTCCCAATGCCCGCTTTTCTCTATTTGTGTGTCTTCATGTGTGTATTCCTCTGTTTATTTTCTAATCCATGGCCACCCTCACTCAAGCCATTCATTCAGCCATACTGCTGGTCACAGTAATACTGAGCCCTTAGACAGCTAGCGTTGGAGTTACCCGGATGGACAGAATGTATGACTTACATGCTTCCTGCAGTGCCTGCCCAGCACCACCCTTGGAGGGCCCCTATGTGAGCAGCTCCTGCTGACGGCATCACACACATCCCCTTCTGGACTGCATTCCAAGAGCATTCAAGGGTGGATTGCCAATCGGGGACTTTCCTGTTCTGCTCTATAGTTTACACCGGGGTCCCCAAGTGCCAGTCCATGGCCCATTAGGAACCAGGCTGCACAGCAGGTGAGTGGTGCGCAGGCTGAACAAAGCTTCATCTGTATTGACAGTCACTCCCCATGGTTCACGTGGCTGCCTGAGTTCCACCTTCTGTCAGATCAGCAGGGTCACTGGGTCCTCACAGGAGCACAGACCCTTTCATCAACTGCATTGTGAGGGATCCAGCTTGCTTGTGTGCTCCTTGTGAGAGGCCAGTGCCTGATCTGGGGTGGAGCTGAAGCAGTGACGCTAGCCCTGGGGAGTAGCTGCAAATACTGCATCATGGTGAGCTGTATGATTATTTCATACATCACGACGTAGTAATAATAACTACAGTGCACAATAAATGTAATGGTGTGAGAATGTGCTTGAATTGGCCTGGTATATTCACCACCACCCTTCCAACCCTGATCCATGGACAAAGTGTCTTCTACAAAACCAGACCCTGGTGCCAAAAAGGCTGGGGACCACTGGTCTACACCATGAACCCAGATGTCTCTCTCTCCTGGCTCCTCTGGAGACACTCCCTGATCTCAGCATTTCCTCATGCTTCACCATTGTAGGGAGCAGCCGGTTCTGAGCAACACAATAGTGACCTTAAAAGACAAGTGGAAATAAAACCCTTGTGCTAACAGTGCAGGGTAAGGGGCAGCTCTAAGAAGGATATGATCTGTTTTTCTTTTATTTGCACTGCATGGTGGTGTAAATTAAAGGAAGCTCTGTGTCAGCCAGAGAAGGCCATGGGAGGTTTGTTTAGAACCGCAAGATGTTCCACAGTGCCAGTCAATAATAGAAAACACCTGGCTTTACCTTCCACTTCTCCCTCCCCCTTTGCCCTCTAAAAGAATAAACTTGGGAACAGCTCAGGGCTGCAGCCATCTCCATCAGACATCTGGCCTGCCCGATCCCCGCTTTTCTATACTTGTGTGTCAGTCTGTTTTTTTCCTTCAAAATCCACCACCACTCTCACTCAGGGTCCCCATCCCCAGCCTCGCAGGCCAAGGAGCACCATCACATTCTGAGCTGGAAACTTGGGTCTGAAATAGCTGCTATTTTCAAGTCTGGTTTCCCAACAAGCTCACAAGCTCCTTGGAGGGGGACCACGTCTCGACCCTCCCGGCAGTCCACCTCCTACCGTTTAGCGAAGCACTATGCGGAGGTGTGGCATGACTCTCACATAAAGTATTACCAGTAAACTTTCCACCGCTGAAGGTCATCGGAAAGCCTGAAGCTCCTCCAGCGAAGTCACTCATCATCAGAGCAACCTTCTCCGGCAGCCTTCCCCCGTTGGGTCGGGTGCAGTCCACCGTGTTCAGAATCTTATGACCTGTGAAGAAACAAAGCGGAATGGGCATTCTGGGTGGGACCCTGGACATCACGGTGTGAACCCCAAGTCAACAGAGCCTCACACACAGTCCGTATGAACTGACTTAATTGAGTATGTCCAAGGAGAAGCAAAAAGGGTAAGATTCAAAACCCAAAGTCTTCAATAGTATATCCTGAATTTCAAGTGAATAAATTCATCTTGTTTGGTTCTGTGGGTTCTGGGTTTTTTTTTTTTTTCATGAAGACAGTTAGCTTGATTCCACTCTGGGTCGTAGATAGACTGTTGTTCTCAACAATTATTTCCAGATGTTGAGCCCAAAGGATCCAGAAAAGAGTGACCAGATCAACACAAGCCCTTCCACCTTTTGCAAGTTTCATGCAAAGCTCATATTTGGATGGTTATTGGAGCAGTAAGGCCATCTTCTCATACGAAAGGCGGCAGTCATGATTATGTTATATGATGATATTTCAAGAGGAAAGCAGCGAAAGACTTGTATTCAATAAAGGTAGTGTTGGAAATTGTATATAGATAAAATATATCTGTTGCCTTATGGAAAAGTGCTTTGGAACCATCACTGTGTAGACTGTATAACTGGTTGTCCGTTCTCTGGAAAGGTGATCTGAAGGATGGCTTAATTTCCTAAGGCAAGGATATAGCATATTCTTTTAAATGCAGATAGAAGAGGAAGATGAACACAGGATGAAATTTTAGACAGCTATCATTATCCTGCCTCCCGAGAGTGTTTTTCGCTGTTGACGAGGATGAGAAAGTACCTTTGTACTCCACAATAATGCAAGTGTCCATCTCAGGATGAATGCCATCCATCAAGATCATGAACCGAAGGTTTTTGTCTACCTGAAATTTAACAATAAAACCAACAGCTGTGTATGTCAGTTTGGCTTTTACAAGTCAAGGTTCAAGAAGGTCACTTCTTCTGGAAAGACCATTCGATCAGATCTTACACTTGAAGAACTCTCCTATTCAGAAGTGGGTTGATTGAACCATCTTAGAGGGTTACATCATTGGTAAGGGGAAAGAAAACCAGCTTTCAATGAGGCCAGTTATGTTTGGCATTTGAAGCTCAATTAAAGGTTGTGTTCCCCCAGTGCCGCTGACAGACACCATGGACCTTTTAATCCCTTATCTGAAGGCGACTGCCTCACCCAGCTCACCTCTAGAAAGCACAGCTAGGAAGTACGGAGAGAAGAGACTCCTGACCTTTTGCCATATTCCAAATGGCACCACGTTGATGTTAGTCAACCGGACGCCGCTCTGAGCCAGGTGCCAAAAGACAGGTCTTTCCGTGTTCCCAACATAAATGGGGATATCTGGCCTTCTCCTGGCAAGCTTCTTCAGTGTAGGATAACTAGGATCAGAAGGACGAAAAGGTTCAAAGGTGAAAAGCAAGATCATGCAGTAACAGAGACACTTGGCTCCAACCACCAGCAGGCTGGCTGAGAAGCAAGGGATTGAAACCTCAGACTCTCGCCAAAGCTGGAGAAGCATTTCTGTTCGTGGTCAACTGTAATGGTGACGGGAGTTCCCGAGGAGATCCTCTTTACCGTGAAAACACACCATAGGCCATGTCTGTGCACCGATCGGATGTGCAAGCTCCTTTTTTCACACTGATGCTGCTTCGAGCAAGAGTGGTTCCAACTCAAAGCAATAGAGCGGAGAAAGTCATGCCGCAGAGTTGCCGCCAGGCCAAGATCGCCATGGCTTTATCTCATCTCCTTCTTTGAGTAGCAGCTCCCCGTTAAAGAGAAGGCTGGGACACAGTACAGGACAAGGAGAACCTGGCCTCGCCACCATTCGGGGTCAGTTTTCCAACCTCCAAAGACTGATGGCTGTTCTTGGTTCACGCAGAAGGTATTACTCATCCTTAAGGGAGATTAGTACCAGCCAGGAGAGACAGTGGCATCCAGAGCAGAGGAGAGCTTTGGCCAACACTTGTCATGCTCTCAATTCAGGACAAGTTCAAGTGTACTTGTCGCATACCTACATGCCTGAAGTCATTCATTCCCTGAGCGCTCACTTCATGAAAGGGTTATCACACCACTGTACACGTGGGTGAAAGGTGAGTGAGAGGCGGACGGATGGCCGGGTGTCTGTTCTTTTTCAAGAGTTTGAAAACAGATTTGATTTGATTTGATTCTTACCAAAGAACTCTGAGATCTTTTTTGTTTGTTTTGCAGATGAGGAAATTCACAACTAGCAGCTGGAAATGGGTGTCCAAATTTGAGCACCTGCTTCTTCTATTAGAAGACTGGCGAATGTACTGTTTGGTTTTAGGATCGGATGTGGGCCAGCAGGTGGCAGGGCGGTTAAGGCACAGGATCCCACCCGGCTAGCTGGTTCACATCCTAGACCAGTCGGCTTGAAAACCACATCAGCCGTGTGTACTTGCATGGCTAAAATCCTGAGGCAAGAATGGAGGAGGAGAGACTGTGGCGCTTGGGGTGCTTTGTCATTCTCTCTCTCTGTCTCTGGGGAGCGCACATGCCCTACAGCAAACTAAAATGTAAATGCATAAACTCTGCTCTGCAGGCCCAGCTGATGCACTCGGTGCTGGAAGCCGCATGAAGACCCAGGTTCGGTTCCCAGGCTAGCCTGCATGTGCTGGGTACATGCTCGCAGGCCATGATCTGCCTGGCTGGGAAAGGTTGGGGGTGGGCTACAGTGGAGACCCTGCAGGATGCTTGCTTTTCTCTCCTCCTCTCTCAAAAGAAATAAAGCACATCTGAAAAAATCACACAAGTTCATGTGCGTGTGTGCCCAAAATCCTGAGAGGAGAATGGAGGACACAGTTACAGTATGGCCATCCCCCTGAGGGGGTTCTTGCTCGTTTTCCTTCTCTCTGTTTCTTTCTGTCTCTCTCCAGTGAGCACACACGCCCTGTGGGAAGAAAGAAACCCAATTCAGAGTACATGCCTGCCCTCAGAATTCCGTGCTTCTGAGTAGAACCGCGGGGGCTGGTGACCACTGGTGACCATTTCTGTCCCACTGTCCTACATGTGAACTTTGTCATACAGTGTCACAAAAAAAAGAGCAGAAGTTGCCATTTTTTCAGTAGCACTTGGAGGTACTTTCTGTGTTTATATTGGCAACCACAAAGAAGGAGTAAGACCTTCAAACTGCGAGGGAGAAGCCCCACCCCACCCTTAAGCAAAGAAACAGGTTGGTCCCCCTTCCAGCCGCTGACTCGGCTCACTGCAGACATTTGTGGTTTCCTAACTGGCAGTTCTCTTTCTTCCCCTTCTTCTTTTCTTTTCTTTCTTTCTTTTTTTTTTTTTTGGAGAGGTTTTTGCTATAGGGCGCGTGCGCTCGCCAGACAGACAGAGAGACATAGAGACAGAAAGCAAGAAATCACCCCCCAGGGGGGATGGTCGCGCCGCAATCCCTTCTCCTCCATTCTCCTCTCGGGATCTTGGGCACGCATGCACACGTGCCCAGTGTGAGTTTAAAGCCACCGGGTCCAGGACACGAACCGTGGTTGACTACGTGGGAGTCCAGTGACATTGCCATTACGCTAACTGCTGGTTCCCTGTTTTATGGTTTTTTTTAAGAGAGATTTTTTGCTACAGATTGCATGGGCTCGTTGAAGAAACAGAGATACAGAAAGTGAGAAGAGAAGACAGAAAGAGACATCCCCCAGGGGGATGTCCATGCTGCAATCTCTTCTCCATTGTCCTCTTGGGATTTGGGGCCTGCACACACACGTACCAGCCATGAGTTTGAAGCCACGGGAATCGAGACTCAAACCACAGTCGACTACGTGGGGGTCCCAAGACGCAGCCGTAATGCGCCTGCTGGCCCGTCCCGAGTATGGAAGCGTGTCTAAACATGAGGCTTCCTATGCAAATGCAGGTGTTCATCCACAGCAGTCCTCTTTCCATCATCCCAGCAGACCCACTCCACGGCGAGCAGCGACCCAACGGAACCCGGCAGCACTCCCGCCTTTGCTGCAGCGTTTTCCTGGCAGCCCAGCGCCCGGGGCTCCATTACCTCAGGTGGTCCGAGTGCATGTGACTGATGTACACCAGGTCTGCTCGGCACAGCCTCTCCAACCAATCCGATGGAGGCTCGTGGAGCAGCCACCATCCCCGGGCAAAAGCGGGGCCAGTTAGCCAAGGGTCAAATATCATCCTCTTATCTCCCAACTTGAGGTCCATGCAGGCGTGAGTGAGATACGTTATCTGTTAGGAGACAGTGTGGTTCTTATTACCGACTCGTTCTTGGCCAGCGATAATGAACTGAAAGGCCTGCCTGGGTGACATGTTGGTTAGAGGACTTTGCTCCGAGGCATGGCCAAGCAGAATCTTGGTCTCAAGTGCATTGCAGTACAGTGTACGACATCTGTGGGACCAGGCCTTCCAAGCACAGTTTACAGAGAAAGGCCAGTAGACATACGCAAGTTCATAATGCGCCACATCACAGTAACGGAGTCGAAGGCAGCCATACGGTCACTGCCATAGATGCAAAAAAGCATCAGTAGACTTCAAAATCCCTTCTTGATAAAAACGAACAAACAAAAACTCAACAAATTAGGACTAGCAAGAACACGCTTGACAAATGAAGGCCATGTGACAAACCCATAGCTAATAGTATACTGAATGGGAAATTGAAAGCTTTTCCTTTAAGACTGGCAAGACATTGGATTGGAGAAAATCCAATGGTCCCCATTAGCAAATGACATGTCCAAATGTATAGAAAACCCTAAAAGCCTCACCCAGAAGTTGTTAAAACTAGTAAACAGATTGAGTGAGGTTAAGGATTCAAAATCAACCTATAAAAACCAGTACTACATCTATACCCTGACAGTAAACTACCTGAAAAAGAAATCAAGAAAACAATCTATCTCATTTACAAAAGCCACAGAAGAAAACATAGCAATAAATTTAATCTCTAAAATGAACAGTATAAAACACTGCTAAAAGAGATTTAAGAGGATACAAGTAAAAGGAAAGATATCCCATATGCATGGATTAGCAGAATTAGCATTATTACAATTTTTAATACTACTCAAAGTGATCTACAGATTCAACCCAGTCTCTCTCCCAAAATACCAATGATGTTCTTAACAAAAATAGAAAAAGCAATCTTAAAGTTTACATGGAACCGTAAGACCCACATAGCCAAAGGAATCTTAGGCAAAACAAACAAAGTTAGAGGCATCACAGTACCTGGCTTCAAAACATACTGCAAAGCAGTAGTAACCAAAACAGCATGGCATTGGCATAAAAACACATACATTGACCAACAGGACAGAATAGAAGGCCCAGAAGTAAAAATACACATTTACAGCCACCTGAGTTTTGCCACATTGGGGAAAAGACCATCTCTTTGTAAATGTTGCTAGGAAAAGTAGGTACCCCCATCCAGAAGAATGGAACCAGACCCCTATCTCTCACCACATACAAAACCCAAGTGAATCGAAGTCTTTAACATAAACAAAGAAGTTGGGGATGTTGTGACAGGCATTTAGGGTATAAACGCAACAACAGCTGAGAACAGGAATCTGAGTGAGGGTCTCCTGGTGAGTGAAGTGGGTTGGTGCAGCCATGCAGACAGGACTGACAACCAGCCACACTGGTTCACAAGGCTTTCTCTTCTAAGTCACCTGCCAAATCCACCCTTCAGAAGGCTGAGATCATTGGAGGGTATGAGCGAGAACTTAGAGGCCAGCATAGCCCAGAGGCTTCTAAGTCCCTTCCTGTCCTTGCCCACGCTGACCCATCTGTAGACGGAGCACTTCAAGGGTCTGAAAGGCAGGGTTCCAGGAGCTCCAGCTCAGTGCAGTGCACCGGGAGTTGGGGACCATTCTGGGCGAGCTTCTGTTTCCTTTAAAAAGCAACTAACTTGGACCAGCAAATGGCATAATGGTTACTTTGTTGTACTCCCACACGGCCTACTGCGGTTCGAGTCCCAGACACAGCAGCTTGAAGCTCATGCCAGACGTGTGTGCGCACATGCCCATGATCCCAAGAAGAGAATGGAAGAGAGAGGACTGTGGCATGGCCATCATCCCCTGGGGCAGGGGTGGTGGTGATTTCTTGCTTTCTGTCTCTCTGTCTCTCTCTGGTGAGCACACATGCCCTATAGCAAAAATCTTTAAAAAGAAGAAGCAACTGCCCCAATATACATAAGCTTCCCATATATACAGAAAAAAAAAAAAAAGAATTTTCATTGTTTATCTCAACCAAACTATCAAAGTGGTTTTCAGGAGGAAGCTCTCTTCAAAAAATGGGAATTGCAGGAGCAGCTGTGTGCAGGTCGTGGGGTCACGTGCAGAAGGCAACGAGCTGCCATTTCCGGTGGCCCAACTCCCAGGCCAGTTTGGGCCGGCTCCAGTGGTTGTGCGGGCTGTCCTGTGGGGCCTCATCTGAGGTGTGTGACTTAGCTCTGGGTGTATTCCCTTATCACCTGTGCCACGCGCTGGGAGCCCTGAACTGTCCAAGGCAGAGTTCAGAGCCAGCTAGACACGCACCGCGCTGGTCTAGCTTCCCTTTTGCTTTAGAAACATTGTCGTCTCAGCACTTCCTCACCTGCACTTCCCCAAAAGCCAGCTCCTCAGGCGCTCTGGGTTCCGAATCCCAGGGGTTAGGAGGGTTCAGCTCTAGAAGTAAAAGTCCGTTGTTTTCATCCATTTCAACAACTAGAACCAAAGAGAAACCGATCTGGTTAATAACAGACGACAGCAGCGTGACAGAAGCAGCACCGAGCGCTCCGAGGCCGCGGACCGATCCCACGAAGGGTGGACACTGGCTCGGGTCAGGCAACTCCCGGTGTCAGGTCGGGGCTGATTCAGGTCCTCGTTCATGGCGCGTAAGGAGCACGTGATCCCGGCCGCACAGGGGCACGCGCACGCGCACGCACACGCACAGGCGTGGCCATGGAGTGTCGTGAGGAATGAGCGGGGGCCCTGGAGGTGTGCGGTGCACACCTGGGGTGCTGTGAGCGGCAGGGCCTTCCGCCCAGTACGCACTCGCCCGCTCACTCGAGGAGCAGGCGGTTGGGAGACAGAGCAGGAGGGCAGTGAGGGGAGGAGGCGCAGGGGTTGGTGGGTACAGGGGGACGCGTGCTCTCGGAGCGGCTGTGATTTGTCACTGAGGGAAACGCTGCTCGCGCAGGGCCGTCGCGTCGCCCAGGAGGTCACGAGGGCTCAGAAGATGCACCAAGGTCTTGGATTCCATCTGTGGCAATTGGGGGTCAGAGTGGAATTTCAGGGACTCGTGGCCATCTCAGCGGGTGAACTGTGTGGCACCCGTGGTCTCCTCCCTCCCAGGTGAGAGCAGGCCAGTCTGCACTCCGCCCACCACTGTCTCCCAGGCCCCCTCGTGGGTGCTCCACCTGGTAGACCGTGCTGGCCAGAGGGGTGAGAAGGGGTCTCTGGGAGCTGATTTTCCAGACAGGGAGCATGCAGGGGCTGCACGTACCCCCCCCCCAGTCTGGAACTTGGTTACCGTCCAGGGAGGAGCAGAGCCAGCTGGAGACCCTGGAGAAAGTGCCACGTGGGGAGGACCACACGGCAGGGAGACAGAAACCGGCCCTGTGAAAACCGTGGTCCCGCACTGCCTGCCCCTCTTCTATGCAATGAAAAACTCAGGGCATTTGAATTTCCAGTTCCTGTAAATACAGACTTGCAGGCGTTCGTCAAAGGCCAGTTTTCCAAGTCATCTGGGGGCATCGGTGTGAGGAAGAGTTGAGGATGCCCAGACCGACGCCCCAGATGCCCTCCTCTCCTCTCCTTCCCTCTGCCGGCATCGGCCGCCCACGGCTGCTCTGGCTCCTGGCTGCAGTGGGGATGCGACTTAGCGGAGGGGGATCACCTTAGTGAAGGGGCGTCCTCGGCTCACAGACTCTGCCCCCACAGCCTTCTCCCCTGCCTTCTTTTCATCACTGGACACAGCCCAGGTCTAGCCGCCCTCCCAGGCTGCACCGGAGTCGGGGGCTGGACGGCGCTTTGTCCATGGCGGAGTCAGTGGTGCTGGGAGTGATGACAGGGTCACTCCGGGACTCGGCGCATTTGCTGAGCTGTGCCTCAGAGTCCCGGTTTCGTGTCCCCAAGGCTGGCTCCGGGGTGCACGGTCCTCTCAGCTCGGGCCACCCCTGCCCAGGCACGGTGCAGTGACTTGGAAACTCAAATGCAGAGTGACTTCCAAAGAAGTTCAAAGTAAATGACACCTCCCTTCAGAGAGCGCTTCAGGACAGGCGATCACCCAGCATCCCCCGTGTCTGCCTTTCCTCGGCCTCGCATCCTCTGCTTGGGAGGGGTGGGGTCACCGGGGAAGGCCACAGAGCGGGCACCCTTGTCCTCCGCCGCCCAGTCCTGGGGAAGCCCCTGCGTGGGTGTGCAGAGCCAGCAGCCTCTCACCTCCGCACGGCCACTTAGACCTGGCTATGCCCAGGCACCAACAGCGGGGCCTGACCCCTGGGGGCCAGTCCTGCACAGCTCTGCCCCAGACCTGGACGCTGCTCTGTCCACGCTCTCCGGACAAGTGACGGTGGGCGAGGGGCTGGCCAGCTCCTGTCCCTGCAGCGGCCCCCTGCTGCGAACCCCACACTGACCATCCGTCCGCTAGACTGAGCAGGAAACGGGCTAAGACGCAAATTACCGAGCTCGGAAACGGGATGGGGACATTACTCCTGACAGTGCAGCAGGAAGCGATGGGGCAAACTGCACGGCCGATGCCTCAGGTGCAATGAGGAAATTCCTAGAGACACGAGTCACAAACAGGGAAAGGGAACCGGTCATCGAGACGCCCCGCGGAGAGGGTCCAGGCCCGGGAGGGCTTCCGTGGGGAGCCGAGGGAAAGCTGGGAGATGACTGACAGCACCAGCTCTTCACCGACTCTCTGACAAACAGAAGGGGAGGGTGACATGCGATTCATTCTGAGGTCACGTGTCCCTGGTCCCCAAACCGACGGCGTCCAAGACAGCCACAGACCACTGTTCCGGGAATGCAGGTGGAGACAAGGCTTAGCCGGATGTGAGCGACGACAGCTCAGCTGTTCAGGAAAGGCCGTGCGTCACGACCGAGGGGGCTCCGACCAGGCTGCGCTGGCCTTGCAAAGACGCAGGGCCACACTAAAAACTCGGTCATATCACATTAATACGTCGTAGTGGTAGAAAGAACGTGAAACACCACACAACCATCTCAATGTAGGCGAAGAGGCATTTGATAAATTCCAGCGTCCTTTCGTGATAAACACGGAACACGAAGACCGGACGGGAACTTCCACACATGGTCAATGGCACGAAGGGAAGCCTCACGGTAACGCCACACTCATGGTGACACCCTGGAAGCGTCCTCACGAACAGGGACACGGCTAGGAGGTCTGCTCTCACCACCTCCACCTGGAGGGCTGACGGGGCAGCCAGGCAAGAAAATGAACTGAGGGGCCAGCAGATGGCGAAACAGTCATGCCGCTGGACTCCCACGTAGTCGGCTGTGGTTCAAGTCCTGGACCCGGTGGCTTAGACCTCACGCCAGGTGCGTGTGCATGCATACCCGAGATCCCTAGAGGAGAATGGGCGGGAGGGGATTGTGGTGTGGCCATCCCCCCTGGGGGTGATTTCTTGCTTTCTGTCTCTCTCTGTCTCTCTGGTGAGTGCACGTGCTCTATAGCAAAAATCTTTCTCATAAAAAAGAAAAAGAGGGACCAGCAGTTGGCATAATGGTTATGTTGCTGGACTCCCATGTAGTTGACTGTGGTTCAAGTCCTGGACCTGGTGACTTAAACTCATGCCGGGCATGCGTGCGTGCGTGCCCAAGTGCCCAAGAGGAGAATGGAGAAGTGATTGTGGCGTGGCCATCCCCCCTGGGGGTGATTTCTCGCTTTCTGTCTCTCTGACTCTTTCTGGCGAGCACATGCACCCTATAGCAAAAACCTCTCCAAAAGAGAAAAAGAAACAAACAGAAAAAGGAAAAGAAAAGGCACACGGGTGGGAAGGGGAGCGGTGAAACGGGCCCTGTCCTCGGATGACATGACCTGTGTACAGAACACCCTCAGCACCGCCAGGGAGTGGCTCCATCTGCTGCATCTGAAAAGCTTGCGGAGTGTGAGGTCATATTTCAGAGGGCAACAGCTATCTCTGCCCAACAGGTACTGCAAAATAAAGCGAGCACCAGTTTCCTGCGGCTCGGCCGATGCTGCTACTCAGCCTGACCCGGCTGCCCGGGGGACGTGCTTCCTGGCCAGCCCTGGGTAGCCCGTGGAGGCGCGGTACTCCCCGACACCAGGAGGCTGACGAGCTTGCTGAAAACGCCCTGGGGCCGGGCAGGGGCTCGACCGTGGTCCAGGTTCAGATCTGGAGACCTCCCTGGGGCCACCAGACACATGTGCCCGTGATCCGGGCTGGCAGAAGCTGGGGAGCGCGGCATCGGGACCCCGCTGGGGGCTCAGTCTCCCTGCTTCTACCTCTTGTTCATGGAAAAATGAGCTAATAACGGTCTTTAAAAGTGGAAGAGGGACAAGTGCAGAGAGGCACGACGGCGGGGAGGTGCTGCTAGGCTTGAAAACGGAGACCGGGCCCTAAGTTGGAGAAAGCAGGCGATCACTGCCCCCAGTCCTGGGGGAAGAAGGCGGCCCTGCCACCGTCGCTGTGGTAGCCAGCGGGCCCTCGCGGGACAGAGACCCGCTTGTCGCCCTCAGGCTCGCGTCTGTGGCCACTCATCAGGGTGGCAAGTGGCAAACCCACAAGGAGCGTGCGGCTTCTCACACGCCGGGAGAGGGAGACCGTCAGAGCAGGGCGGGCCTCCACACTGCCTGCCTTCGGAGTGTGGGCAAGAGGGCACCTGTGGCCATCCCTGGCTGGAGCCGGGACTGGGCCGGAGCAGGCCAGGAGACGGGGCCAGCGAGCCGCTCGCTGTGAGGGAGGCGTGGAGGCGGGGCAGATACCCGTTTCCAGGACACGAGACCACATGTGCGTGCGTGTGCTCAAGTGCGCTTGCACACAGGCTGGAGCCACGGACGGGATGAGCGATGCGGCAGGCGAGGCACCATTGCAGGGGTGAGGAAGTGGGACGGAGCGTGTGGCTCAGCTCAAGTGCGGTGATGGGAGGAAGGACGGGGTGGGCAGAGGAGGGCGCGGCTCTGTTCCCGTCTGTCTGTCTGGTCATTCCTGCGTCACTAACAGAACTCCTGGCCGCTGGACAGAGACAGAGACAGCAGGGCTCACCCCGACAGGCAGCTCAGGGAGGCCGACACAGGCCTCATCCGGGGCAGAGCGGATCTTTCCCGTTCTCTCCCCCTCTGCCATGCTGGCCGCGTGCCCGCCGCTCACGCACCTGCCACTACTCAGCCGCGGGCCCTGCCCTAACAACAGCGCCACACCCTCAGGCCTCGCCCGGGACACCAGGCCAGCGTCCCATTCTCACTCAGTGCCCTTGTGATAGGATCTAGAGTCAAGTCCCACACGAGCTTCTGTGGGACGCCCACCATCAAGCCCAAATCCCAGACTGGAGACTTTGGGGCTCGATCCGCGACTCAACCCGTGAAAACTACGCACTCCCTGTCGCTGCGCGGTTGGGCCTCTGGAAGGCCACGTATTAGATCTTGCACATGAACGACTTTGCCCATTCTCCTCCCCTGCCCTACCCTGACTATCTGCTCTGTACATCTGCTTCTCTTCCCATGAGAAAACCGCTCGTGCTAGCGTACGGAAAACTCCAGCCGGGACGACATCCTGACCTGCTACTGTCTTTGCTAACTGGCCTGAAACCCTTTTGTTTAGCAAGGGAACTGCTTGCCTGGAAACCCCACTCCCCTCAGAAATAATTAGCCTGCTTGACTCAGCTTCTGTAACTGCAGTTCTGACTCGGCCCCCCGAGCCTCAGGCCGGAGTCGCTGGCAGCTTAACCTTAATCTGGCTTTGGTGGGCGTCCTTCGGTGGGACTCTACAACAGGTCAGTGTGGCCATAAGGTGACGTGGTTCTCATCAGGACCTGACCTGCTCCTGGCACACACTCAGCGCGACACCAAGTCCGGCCCTACGTCGGGCGAGTGTCCCCGGCCCTGCGTGTAACCCATCCTCGGTGTCCTGTGCACAGCCGCGGTGCCCGCTCCCTGCCCTCCTGCCACAGCTCACACTGCCCAGCTGCTCCCTCCCCAGAAAGCCCCCTCTCCTGTGCCTGCTGAGATTCTGCCCGCCTTCGAAACCCGGCACAAACACCCCGTCGGCCATGAGGCCTTTACCCTGCGGTAGGCCGGCCTAAGCCATGCTGAACCGCTGAGGGCCGTTGGTTTTATGCACAAAAAAAAAACCCTGCGGCAGATTAGGGACGGGCTGACGCCACAGCCATGCCGACGCCACAGCCATGCCCGGTGGCTCTCAACCTCACGGTCCCCTGACTAGGGGCCCACAGTGTGGACTGTGGACGCTCCAGCTCCTTCTTGGTGTCGGGAAGAGCTGTCTCATTCCAACCCTTCTTCCCACGCAGACTGTGCATCCACGGGGTTGAGAGAGCGCCACGCGCACAGACAGCCTCATGGTGTCTCCACCGCATTTACCTCCTCAGAGCTTATTCATTCATTTCTTCTATGAGCTAGAGAGAGCGAGAGCGAGAGAGCACCCCACCGGGGTCCAAGATACCCCGTGACCACCAGCCGCAGATGGTGCCCACGCACCGCGTCCTTAGGAGCTTCCCGGCGTGAACTCTCCACCTCCCACGTGGGACCCCCTCACAGGGCCTCGCGTCTCACTGCTGCGTCACTGGCCCCTTCACTTTAGTTCTGAAGTTGATTCATTTTTTTCCACGCAAGAGAGAAGAGACAGGCGCCCCGACCAGGGCTTGTGTGCCACAGTCCAGCTGGCCCAGGCCTCAGGTGGAGGCCCCAGGACGTGGACACGGGACTTCACCGCATGGTCCAGCCGTGTCCCCACTGTGCCCCGCCCAGCCCGTCTTGCGTGTCCTCAGAGAGGAAACACCCCTGCTCCGAGAACACCAGCTTCTCCTGAAGAACCTACCCCGGCGTCCTGTCTCGGGGACCATGTCATACGAATGTCACCTGGCTGTGCCGGCTCTGTTTTCCAGCCGGGTCTCCTTTAAGACTCAGCGTGGGCCAGCAGAGCCCAGCACCTGGGCTCTGCCGCCTGATCTGGGGTCCCGGGGAAGGCCCAGGTCAGATCTGGGTGTGCCCACACGGCCTGTGAGCATGCCCGTGTATCCACTCCACCCATGAGCACACCGGTGTGCCCACACGACCCGTGAGCTCACTGGGGGAAGGCGGGAGGAGGACACGCAGGACGAGGCTGTCGAGGATTCCTCTCTCTGTCACGAGAAGAGTAAAGAAGGTAAGAAAGAAGGAAGAAAGGGAGGGAGGGAGGGAGGAAGGAAGGGGAGAGAGTGCCCAGCATGATGCCTGCACACGGCAAAGTGTCTGCGGTATTTGCCAGCCATCGAGAAAGGCGTGCACACCTTGTTTAAGGGACGAGCTTTGTCCCTGTCACTAGGCGGTTACGAGAACTGGCCCATAAGCTAGAAGCCACGAGGTGGCTGTCTCGTGGTGTGTCACGGCACCACAGGGTCTGACCGGCAGCTGCCACGCCACCCCGTGCTAGAGCGTCTTCCTAGCCACACAAAGTGGACGTTAGGTGAACACCGGAGGCGACTCGACGCTCCACAGCGCGGCACCAGGAGCCCAGCACGGCCGCTCGTGTCCCCTCTGAGCAGGACCGTGGGAGCAGCGAGGCACATGCGTGTAAATGGAATGCGGGGCCCGGCGTGCTGCGGACAGCGCGTGTGACTGTGGGACAAGCGGACCCTGAGAAAGGGGGTCCCCGAGACGCCCAGACTGCACGGGACGCCCAGTGCTGGAGACCTGGTCGTTAGGTAGGAGCGGTCAGTAAGTGAGCAGTGGCTGGGACGGGGGGTCTGCGGAAATCTAGGGTGTTCAGTGCAGGTTGTTTCCAGAGATCTGACGTCTGAAGTCAGCACACGCAAAGCTGTGAGCGCTCAGACCGAAGTGGAGGCGCCGCCCGACCGCGGTCGCAGGCCCACGCGCGGGCAGGGCTTACCGAGCTCGTCCTGGCAGAAGCTCCCCGGGGGGTTGATGTACTTCATGGTGCTCACGTCCAGCCTCCAGTTGTGCTTCGTGCACTTCACGGACCTGCGGGACAGCGTGGTTACGTGTGTGGGATGGCGAGTACCACGTAAGCTTGACTAGGCCCAAACGCCTGCTTTACAAGGACAGTAAACTAGTTGGTGGGGCACTAGACGCAGAAAAGCAAACACCACTGCTACCGACTACCTATCCAAAGACACGCACTCTACTAATCAACAGGCGATTTAAAATGAAGGCAAGCTCCACGTCACAGAATGACACATCTCAGACAACACGCCAGCCTTCAGAGAGGCTGTCCCAGAACCTAAGCCCGAGGCGATCCCACGGGAAAGGGCCCCCCGGGAGCCATGCTGGGAAGAACGCAGCCCTGACCCAGGTCTGGGACCTGCAACCCTTCACAACTCCTGGCCCTGGGAGGGTGCGGGTGTTCACATTTCAGAGGACGCTGGGTGAGAGGCAGCACGCCCCGCCACGTACGCACTTCGCATGCGGACAAGCCAGAAGTCCCTTCACGTGGCCACACCCTGTGGGGGCAGCTTGCACTGGAGCTCTGTCGTTTGTCTAATTTTCATGCAACTCGGCATTTTCATCTGCTCACAACCCTGCTTCAGTGAGAGTCGGATTGTAATGAAGCGGGAGGGCAGGTGCCTGGTGCCTTTTCTCTGTTTTACTGAAGCTTTGATGATGGTAGGTGGGTGGAGGTGGGGCATGAACAGTCTCGGGGTAGTGTTTCTGGCGATGTCTTTTGTGGCCCCTGGGTGTTTTTTCATTTTGTTTTAATTTTACCAAAAAATAAGTTTCGAAGCAGAAACATCAAGTGTTTTAATCCTGAAAGCCCCGTTGATGTGACAGCACATCACGCCGACTGTCCGAGTCGTCACGCCCAGTCTTCTTTACATTCTTGAGGTTCACTCCTAGCTGCAAGGCGAGACACATGCCGACACCTGATTTACGGCAGTGGCCCGACAGTTCCCTCCTCATCCATGAGCAGCTAATGGCCTTCGAGGTGTGAAGGCAGACTCCCCGAGTGCAGGGCGTGCGGCCGGGAGGGGTCCTGGCCACACAGATGCCCGTGGGTGGCAAGTGGGGGACCAGGACATCAGCCTTTCAACAGGAGAGGCTGTGACCAACGGTCAGAATGGACATTAAGAACCGTGGCTTCTTCCGTGTCGAGGAGAAAACGGGTGGGACAGGGCAGGGGTCACAACTCACGACCGCGCCTGGGAAGGACAGTGTGTTCGGAGAAGTAGCCCCAAAGTACTCGAGGAGAAGGACCTGCACGTGCAGAAGTGGAGACGTGCACGGGAGTGACCCAGATGCGCCGTCAGCACGTGGACACGTGTGAGCAGTGCTTGCCAACACAGCTGGGACAGCGCATTCCCATGGCCAGACGCCAGGAGGAGAGGGTTACCCATCGACGGGGTGGGGTGGACCCAGGAGCAGCGCCCCAAAGCCCCAAGAGGGGACAAAGGCGAGTCAGTGGTAACAGCGCTGCACTTAGATGCACGACCCAGATACGAGACACATCCGGGACGCCTGGGAGTGGTCCCCAAGTCAGCTGTCCCTGCCATCCATGCAGAGGGCGAACAGCCTATGAGTAGGACGAACAGCCCATGGGTAGGACGGACAGCCCATGGGTAGGACGGACAGCCCATGGGTAGGACGGACAGCCCATGGGTAGGACGGACAGCCCATGGGTAGGACGGACAGCCCATGGGTAGGACGGACAGCCCATGGGTAGGACGAACAGCCCATGGGTAGGACGAACAGCCCATGG